GAGCAAGTCACTTAACCTCATTGCCTAGCAAAAACAAAACAAAAAAATAATCTTCATTATTTGGGGCAGCTAGGTGGTGCAGTGGATAGAGCACTGGCCCTGGAATCAGGAGGACCTGAGTTCAAATCTGGCTTCATAACACTTACTAGCTGTGTGACCCTGGGCAAGTCACTTAACCCCACTGCCTAACCACCCCCCCAAGAAAAAAAAACATGCTGCCTATGCTAGTCTCATTGAGATTCATAAACTTGAGCCAACACAATTTCACAGCAGGTATTGAATGTATCATGAGCAAGACTAATGGTTTTCAAACCTAGGAAAGGTAGGAAAATGAAATTTGTACACTTAGGAGTGCTAACACTTCAGAGTTGGAAGGAACCTTAGAGAACATCTAAGTCTAGTCCTCTCATTTTACAGATGAGGATACTTAGGTCTAGAGAAGACAAGCCATTTCTCTAAAATCACAGAGCAGAGGTAGAACCAGACCAAACAAAAGACTCCTAATCCAAATCGAGTGCTTTCCCCACCTGGCAGGTCTAATCCAAGGCTCCAACAATATGGACAAACTTCTCTAACTTTGTGGAATTCAGTTATTTGGAAAAAAATTCTGTTTTTTGTAGTGATTATGATGATATTAATGGTGGGCAGCAGGCATAATAATATGAGGCTTTGCAGGGTCTGATTTAATTATGTCTACATTGAGTTTTGCAGAAAATTTCACTTCAAATTTTGGATTTTGTCAGGACACAGTACTTTCTAATTCCTGTCATTGTGACATATCTAATCTTTATATTTCCCATGACAGCCTGGGAAGGGGCTTAAAAAAATGTGCTGTAGTTGTATTTGTGAAGGGAGAGGGGAGTAGTTAGGCGTGTGAAAGGGATACCTGTCTAGGATAATGAAGGAGGAAATAAAAGGGAAAACACAAGGGTGAAGGAGGTGATAGCTGCCTTCTCCAGCTCAGACTTGATGATCCGTACAATCTTCTCAGGAACAAATCCTTTGAGACAAAGAGGACTTGGAGACTCTGCTATTGTTGCAGAACTGTTTAAAGTCTTCAGAGATACCCAGAGAGAGTTATTTTGAAGGCCATCCGTGTTGCTCACATACAAGAAAACCTGGCTGTGAGCTCTCTTTTAAATATGATAATGGAAGAAAAAGGGGACAGAAGTTCTTCTAATAGTAAAATTCTAAGCTCTGAAGAAAATATTTCTTAAATCTTCCTCCCCTTCAGAGGTTGGCTTAGCTATTATATGTAATATTCCATAACAGCTATCAAAAGTAAACACATTATTTTAGGGAGATTTGAGACAGGTGATCATTTACTCTGAAGCTAATACCTACTTTGGAGTTGTCTGTAAGATCATAGGCTCTAGAAAGCACATCTGGTCCAACTCTCCACAACGTATAAATGAGGGAATTGAGGTCCTGAGCAGAGAAGTGACTTGCCCAAAGTCACATACAGTTAGCTTATAAGCATCAAAGTCAGGATTCTAACCTAAGTCTTCAGATACCAAATCCAGTGTTATGCTATATTACTCTAGTTTTGTATTTAAGTTTAGTAGTTGGTAAAACCCTATTCTTCTTTTCCTAGGAATACTAACTATATTTTTAAAATTCTATTTTTATTTTCAGTTCCAAATTCTCTCATTCCCTCAAACTCCTACCCTATCCATTGAAAAGGCAAGAAATGTGGTATTCATTATACATATTAAATTGTGCAGAACATATTTCTGCATTAGCCATTCTTCTGAAAACAAAAAGAAGAAAAATAAAGGAAACAAATATGGTTCAATCTGTACTCTGAGTCTATCAATTCTCTATCTGGAAGTAGATAGCATTTTTCATTATAAATCTTTTGGAGTTATGGTAGATCATTGTATTGATCAGAGTTGCTAAGTCTTTCACAGTTGATCATGTTATAATATTGCAGTTACTATGTACATTGTTCTCCTGGTTCTGATCACTTCACTTTGTATCAGTTCATATAAGTCTTCTCAGGTTTTTCTGAAACCATCCCCTTCAACATTTCTCACAGCACAAGAGTATTTCCATTACATTCATAACTTTTATGTATTATTCCATTACATTCATAACTTGTTCAGCCATTCCCCAACTGATGAACATCCCCTCAGTTTCTAATTCTTTGCCACCATAAAAAAAGCTGCTATAAATATTTTTGAACTGCTGGATCCTTTTCCTTTATCTTTGATCTCCTTGGGATAGAGATCCAAGAGTGGCATTGGTGGGTCAAAGGGATATGTGCAGTTTTATAGTCTTTTGGGTATAGTTCCAAATTGTTCTCCAGAATGGCTGAACTAATTCACAAGCTCCACTGACAGTGATTTAGTGTTCTCATTTTTCCATATTCCCTCTACCATTTGTTACTTTCCTATTCTAACAGCCAATCTGATGGGCATGAGGTGGTACCACAGACTTGTCTTAATTTGGATTTCTTTATTAGTAGTTTACAGCATTTTTATATGACTGAGTTTTGATTTCTTCCTCTGAAAACTTCCTGTTCATAACCTTTGACCACTTTTCAACTGGGGAATGGCTCTTATTTTTATAAATTCAGATTGGTTCTCCCATAGAAAACATTTGAGAAATAACACCTTTAGCAGAGAGACTTGCTATAAAAATTTCTCCCCAGTTTCCTATTTTTCTTCTAATTTTGGCTGCATTGGCTTTGTCTGTGCAAAAAACCTTATGTTTAAAATTATCCATTTTATCTCCTGTGAACATCTCTCTTGTTTGGTCATGGACTCTTCTTCTATCCACAGATCTGACAAGTAATTTCTTCCATGCTCCCTTAATTTGCTTATGATTTCGTTATGCCAAAAGCATAAATCCATTTTCAGCTTATCTTGAGATGTTGGTTTATGCCTAGTTTGTTAGACTATTTTCTAGTTTGCTCAGCAGTTTGTGTTAAATAATGAGTTCTTGCCCCCAAAGCTGGGATCTTTGGGTTTATCAATGACTAGGTGACTGTGTTCATTTTCCGTATACTGTGTACCTAATCTATTCCATTGAACAACCATTCTATTTCTTATCCAGTACCAAACTGTTTTGAATGATTACAACTTTGTAATAAGAGTCTGAGATCTGGTACTGCTAGGTCCCTTTACCATTTTTTTTTCATTGATTCTCTTGATATTCTTGACCTTTTTTTCCTCTAGATGAATTTTATTTTTTCTAGCTCTATAAAGTAATTCTTTGGTAGTTTGTTTGGCATGGCACTGAATAAGTAAATTAATTTAGGTAGTACTGTCATTTTTATTATATTGGTTTGGCCTACTCATGGCCTCTTCATATTAAGATCCGTCCTTCTTTGTGTGAAGTGTTTTGTAATTGTGTTCATATAGTTCTTGAGTGTGTCTTCGAAGGTAGACTCCCAAGTACTTTACAATGCCTTAAGTTATTTTACATGGAATTTCTTTTTGTCTCTTCCTCTTGGGTTTTGCTGGCAATATGAAACCCTACCAGAGCCAAAACCTCTAACTTTGTGGAAATCAGTTCCTCTACTAGTTGCAATTTAAAAATAGAAAGTTCTGAAAATAGGGTTAAATCCCTAAGGTCTGCTACCTTTTCTTTCTTTACAGACACAAATACTAGCTCAGGATACTTTGCATGAAGCAGGTGGAGGAGGAAACTGAAAGAAGTTTACTTGGCAAATAACAATGGAGTGGGGGGGGAGGCAGGAAGGGAGGGAGAGGGGAAGAGGGCAGGGGAGAGAGAGGGGGAGAGTGGGGGGGGAGAGAGGGAGGGAGAGAGGGGGGGAGAGAGAGAGAGAGAGAGAGAGAGAGAGAGAGAGAG